TGAATTCATGTCAGCGTTTTATATTATTTAAATTGTAATTGAATTGTTTTATAATAAAAATGATCAAAGTAAATACATGTGTTTTGTTTTTAGCTCGACTATACGAAGTATATGGAGAGCTGTCCTACTCGCCCCGGCGTCCGCGTCCAGATTTTAGATTAAAGTTTTGGTGCAGTAAAATATTTTTCACTATAACTTTGTCATTTCTTAAGGTATCAACTTCAAACTTCAAATATATGTTCCTTATCATCAACCACATCTTATGTGACAAGGTTCATAACTCTAGCACCAATATTTTCAGATTTATCTCCCCTTGAACTTAGAATTTTCCTTAAAAAATACTATTTTTTACTGTTACTTCTTTATTTCTTAAGGGATCAACCTCATACTTCAAATGTATGTACCTTATCATCATCCCCATCTTATGTGACAAGGTTCATAACTCTAGCACCAATATTTTCAGATTTATCTCCCCTTGAACTTAGAATTTTCCTAAAAAAATGCTATTTCTTACTGTTTCTTCTTTATTTCTTAAGGGATCAACCTCATACTTCAAATATATTTACGTTATCATCCTCCCCATCTTATGTGGCAAGGTTCATAACTCTAGCACCAATATTTTCAGATTTATCTCCCTTTGAACTTAGAATTTTCCATAAAAATATTATTTTTTTTACTGTTACTTATTTATTTCTAAAGGGATCAACTTCATACTTCAAATATATTTACGTTATCATCGTCCACATCTCATGTGACAAGGTTCATAACTCTAGCACCAATATTGCAAGAATTATCTCCCCGTAAACTTAGATTTTTTTACTAGAAAAATGTTATTTTTTATTATAACTTTTTTATTTTTAAAGGTATCTACCTCAAACTTCAAATACTTATTCCTAATCATCAAATACATTTTATGTGACAATGTTCATAACTCTTGAAGCAATATTTACAGATTTATCTCTCTTTGAACTTAGGATTTTCTTTAAGAAATATAATAACTTCTTTACTTTTTAAGGTATCTACTTCAAACTTCAAATATATATTTCTTATCATTACACAAATGTTGTGTGACAAGGTCCATAACTCTAGCATGACTATTTCTAGAATTATTCCCCTTGATCTTGGAATTAATGTTAACAAATGTTATTTTTTTACTATAACTTAATACATAATTATACATAATTGATTTTTCTTTCATAGTTTTGTCCTCCTTACTGCGTCCAGTATTTTATTAGTCAAGCTTCGCTGTCTCCTGTGACAGCTCTTGTTTGTGTACCTCTTGATCGCTTTTCTTAAATTAGGATAGAATATGGGCTGCAGATGAATATTGTAGATAATGCCCGTGTATGCTGACTGTTACTCTTACATTTCGTGCTTTTCTGGTGGAAGGATGGCAATAATAGCATGTGATCGATTAACAAAATTTTGTCTATTGTAAATTTTTAAAAAATAATTTCCTACTATATATTTTGAGAAGTTGTTGCCATTACTTTGGAGTTTCTGCTATTCAATAGCAAAATATTTAAAGTACTCGGCAGAAATTTTAATTACCCATAATGAGACGATTAGCACATGGCAAGATTGACCTTCAAAAGGCCATGGTTATCGAAATAGGCACAAAGAGCAGTACATTTTTATCAAAATATTTCTTTAAGAGCTTCATTATGATACCTAGATGTTGCACATGACCCATTGCCCTGATGTGCTTCAATTTTATACAAAATTATTTTGAAATCTGTCATTAATGGCAAAGTTAAGGACTAGACACAGATGGGACGGAGGCAGTGGAAGGGCAGAAGGACAGACACATGCTTCAAAAATATACAGTATGTGTAGGCAATCCGTATCTTAGGCAATCCGAATCACATCATTTAATTTATTTTTTATTCATCATTAATAACAAAATGATATATTCCTAATGTTTCTATTTACAAAAGAATCGGTTGACATAGGTTTTAAAAAATCAGCACTTCTGTGTAAGAAAATATGTTTTGAGTGGTCAAGACTACTTGAATGACAAGTTGTTTAATCATTGTTTTAAATGAAGGCTGTTTTGAAGAATATTTTCAAATGATTTTTAGCTCGACTATACTCGCCCCGGCGTCGGCGTCCGCGTCCCGATTGCAGATTAAAGTTTTGGTGCAGTAAAATATTTGTCACTGTAACTTATTCATTTCTTAAGGTATGGACTTCAAGCTTCAAATATATGTTCCTTATCATCAACCACATCTTATGTGACAAGGTTCATAACTCTTACACCAATATCTTCAGATTTATCATCACTTGAACTTAGAATTTTCATTAAAAATATTATTTTTTAATGTTACTTCGTACTTTACTTTGTTACTTAAGGGATCAACTTCGTACTTCAAATATATGTACCTTATCATCAACCACATCTTATGTGACAAGGTTCATAACTCTAGCACCAATAATAAGAATTATCTCCCCATAAACTTAGATTTTTTTACTTGAAAAATGTTATTTTTTATTATAACTTTTTTAGTTTACCTCAAACTTCAAATATTTATTCCTTATCATCAATTACATCTTATGTGAAAAGGTTCATAATTCTTGAAGCAATATTTACAGAATTATCTTTGAACTTATGATTTTCTTTAAGAAATATTATAACTTCTATACTTTTTATGGTATCTACTTCAAATACATATTTCTTATCATTACATACATGTTATGTGATGATGTTCATAACTCTAGCGTGACTATTTCCAGAATAATTCCTCTTGAACTTGGAATTTATGTTAACAAATGTTTTTATAAGTTATAGTATGGTATAATAATTATACATAATTGATTTTTCTTTCATAGTTTCGTCTTCCTTACTGCGTCCAGTATTTTATTAGTCGAGCTTTGCTGTTTCCTGTAGTTACTTTCTGTAGTTACTGTTTAATGTTTGTCTAATGTTTTGAAATAATCAATTTAATGTTTTATGCCCCCCGAAGGGCAGCACATTAAAATCACACCGTCCGTCTGTCTGTGTGTCCCCACTTCATTCGTGTCAGGACTGTTACTCTGTCATACATTCAGGAATTTTGAAATAGCTTGGCACAAATGTGTACCACATCAATAGGATGTGCAAGAACCACATCCCTACCTCAAAGGTCAAGGTCACACTTACTTTTTGAAGTTTCACATCTCAATTAGAGTTAATAGGTACACACATTCTGTCCGGACTGTAACTTTGTCATGCATCAAAGAATTTTAAAATAACTAGGCAAAATGTCTACCACATCAAAACGATGTGTTGCATCCAAGAGTAACGTCCCTACCTCAAAGGTGAAGGTCACACTAACATTTAGAATTTTCACATTATCACAATTAGAGTTTTTAGATACACACAATCGTGCCAGGGTTGTAACTTTGTCATGCATTAAAGGATTTTAGAATAACTTGGCACAAATGTCAACTACATCAAGACAATGTGTCGCGTCCAAGAATCATGTCCCTACCTCAAAGGTCAAGGTCACACTACCATTTTGAAGTTTCACATTATCACAATTAGAGTTAGAAGGTACACACAATATTGTCCGGACTGTAACTTTGTCATGCATCGAAGGGTTTTAGAATAACTTTGCACGAATGGCTACCACATCAAGACGATGTGTCGTGGCTAAGGCTTAAATCTGTCTGTGCGTCCCCACTAACACAACAATCATGTCCAGACTGTAACTTTGTCCTGCACTGAGGGATTTTTAAAAACTTGGCACAAATGTGTATCACATGACAACATTGTGGCGCAGCCAAGAACCACGTCCCTTTTCAACGGTAAAGGTCACACTTTTATTTTGAAGGTTCAAACTATCACAATTGGAGATTATAGGTACACACATTCGTGTCCGGCCTATACCTTTGTCATGCATCAAAGGATTTTAAAATAACTTGACACAAATGTCTACCACATCAAGATGAAGTGTTGTGTGTTAGACTCATGTACCTACCTCCAAGGTGAAGGTCTCTCTAATAGTTTCAAGGAACTTATGGTCATAAGAAGAGTTTGAAGGTTACATTAGTTTCCAAACTGTAACATTGCCATGCATTTGGGGATTTTAAGACAACTTGGCATAAATGTCTACCACATCAAGATGATGTTTTGCATCCAAGACTATTGTTCCAAGGTGTTAAGTTTGCTATAAATAGCACTTCATTTCACAAGAACAGTGTGAAGCAATTAGTTATTTTCTTCATCAGTATTGTATGTCAAGATTTTAAGAAAACTTTGGTAAGCAGTGTGGCAATTCTGCGATGTTTAGAAAGGAAATGACACCTGTTACTATAAGATTATGTCATATGAATGTTACATCAAAACTATTGCAAAAAAATAACGCCTTCTATAATGTGATTCCGATTGTCTACACTAACTGTATACATGTATATATAAAAATTAGGCCACCTTATACCAGAGTTCAATTCTGTATATGAAATGTGCACATTCGCCAAAATGCATAGAAATTCAAAAACAAAAAAGGACACTAGGGATCAAAATATAGGTCAACTGCAGCGTTCAGTTCTGAAAACAAAATTATACACATGATGTATACATGTATATTGCTTGAATTCAACTGAGCTCTTGTTCTGCTGTTTTATTTGTGTAATGTTTATAATAAGTAGAATAATCTAAGAAATGTGTACTCATTTAAGGCCTTACAGCACTGCGGAAATCAGGTACCCTTGAAGTATTTTGTGATTCAATTATCACAAATGGAAATCTGGTTGTAAGACCAAATGTTCAAATGTTTAGGAGATGCCCCAATTGCTTGATACGTATGTGCAAGTGAGTTCATTTGTTCATTTGCGAGACGAATGCATCTTTGCTGATTCATGACGGGAGATATGACCTCAAATCTATTAACGACATTCAGTGTCGTTTCTGTTATAGGAAATGACTAAGAATTACAGAAATTTGGTTAAGGGGGAAGCAAAGTTTCAAACACACGTGGATAAATTGTCAAAATAAAACAAAGACGACGATTTTTTCAGTTTATTCATTGAAGACGATCCTCCATTTAAAACAATTACTTCTCTTCCTTATGTTTTATTCGTCTGCCATTTATTGGCCAACTTCGCGCAGCTTCTTGATAAGATCTTTAGCAGCATCAGGATCTCTTTTCTTCGCCCAAAGTGTTTGACTCATAAGATCAGCCGCCTCCTTCCAATTTCCAGCCTGTTAATAAATGCAATAGAGGTATTTAATAAAATGGTAATACATGTATGCATTAAAAAGAAAACCTATATTCCAAGACGAACTGGTCTGGATGATTTTACTTCACCCGTATTTTAATCAACTAAATCCAAAATCTTCTATAAAGCTATGTATTAATGATAGATATAAATACTAAAAGTACATCGTAATCCCTTTAGGGCTTTGTATAACAACTCCATAATTAGATTGTTTTTGTTATCTGTCTTTCGAACGCTCACAAACATCTATTTTCAACATACAATCACATGTATGAACATATATTGAATGCGTGTTCCTTCCCACAATATATGAGAATCCCACTAAAAAATATGGCATCATGGACATATTCATTGGACAATATCTAAAATAAGTACATAAACCCCTACATAGAAAAGTCTTTCCTTACTTCTGGGGAATTGTCCTACTCACCCCAGCGTGCGCATTAAAATGACTAAAGATTATTAAGCTTTTCGACAAATTTAATGAGCAGGTTCGGGAGGCATCCGTCGGCTTTTGTTATATTTACTGTTGAAAATACGTACCTTTACTATATGATTTAAGTATAATATCCATAATGATTATTTTGAAACTTCATGAGCTCTTACCTCGAGCTTTTCTTTGATTTTCGACCTACTTTGGAAGAAAAAATGCATATCTTTTAATCCCATCTTACAGTATATGGTAATCATTATTTTCTTGACACTTTCTGGCATCTTGTTCCACGTCCCAGCTTTGAACCAGTCGTCGAGATCATGTATAGCAACTTTTATACACGACTCATAATCACTTAGTAACTCATCGGTAGCCTTCTCCGACAATTCCCAAGACTGTACTGTAAAACATGAGGGGAGAAAAGTTAAAGTTAAATGGTTTCAAAAGTAGGCATCTCATAGGCTGCTCAGATATGAATCTTTAATCAATGTACAATTCTGTCTGACCATGTCCAAAATTTTCCACATATTTTTCACAAGTTTTATAATTGAGAATAGTTATAAAACAATCGGGACATGATATAAAACAAATTGCATATACATGTATTAGTGTCTTACCTTTCGTTTCTCTTTGCTGCTTGACGCAATACAATGGTAAGACTTGTATAAATTGATTGTAGGTAATACAATTACATTCTTGTGTTATCATTGTGGTGTCTTTCTCAATAATCTTATCCAGCTTTTTGTTCATATTCTCTAGCAATTCCTTTAAAGAGTCTAATTTCTTATTACTTTGTTCATTAGAATCATTAATTTTCTTCATCAGCAATTCTATTTTTTCGCATATTTTTCCGCTCATTTTTGCAATCTCTTCTTTACAACCACATTCTCGATTAAGGATTTCGTATAAAAGTCTGAGAATTTCCTCAAGTAGTTTCATCATTCTCATCATATCCTGTTCCAGTTGCGACATGTCACACGGGCTACTACCAGAACCATTTTCTATAAGAACATCTAATTTCTTTTTAATTTCAGTAAATTCTTGTTGACAGGTCTTTACTATGCTTTGAATTATATCGGAGCGGTTCATAATTGTTTTAAGCCCATCTAAGATCTCTTTAGTGATAACGTCAAATGTATTGTTAATGGCACAGGCACATCTTGCACTTTCATCTGCCAAACGAAAAACATCATTTACCTTTGAATTTGTTTTTTCCTCTAATTCTAGAAGCCTAGCGCCATTTTCACATCGACAAGTTTTGTCTTGAACAGTTTGTTGAATTTCCGAAAGCTTGGTAAAAATTTTAGGTAGCTCTGTAAGATTAGTCATTTGTTTAGGAAGTCTTTCTACTTTTGTAAGTATCATATTTATATCATTTTGAAGTCTTATTACATCCAGACATTCACATCTTCCATACGGACTAGAAGTTATTAATGTCCCCGTGGTTGTGGTGGAAGAGCTGGTGTATCTATATGCATCTATACATACAAAGTAGGAAGCGAAAATAAGAAGGAGAGAAATTGCAATCTTGCGCATGTTGTCTGTTAAAAACCCACAATTGTAATGTCTGACTATTACATGATTTTCTGTATAACAAGCAATGTGATGAGTAATAAAAGACGGATAAACATAAACTGAACAAACTGAACTAGCAAAATGCATAATAAAATAAATCCGTTTATTCAAATTGTATTGTAAGCTGTGCCTATGCTAATAAACATTCAACCTTATTACTGATTAGATTTATCATAATAAAATCAAATTATTTAAGATGACTTTAATTCCAGATAAAAATAGGCTCCATTTCCAATACACTAAACGGATTCAAGACTATTCTTCAAGGGTATTTAAGGTCTCCTTCGCAAGACTTTAGTCGGTTTACATTCTTTTGAAATTAATCACAACTAAATTATATGAAAATTGCAAACTCGGTTTGACTGAGTCTGTACATGACATACCGCAAATAATTAAAAATTTCCAGAATATTCGTTTTAAAGTCGCAAAATGACACATAATTTTAATTTACAAATTCTTAGAAACTGCTGATCGGAACTGAAAGTTTCATATAATTTCAAAAGTCGTACACATTATTGTAAAATAGCTCTCGAATTTTGGAAATGGAACATTAAAGAAATTTCTGTGCAATTAGGAATATCAATTTAAGTGACATTTTTGAAGGACATCATGTCGACATCAAAAGGTGAATGTGATGACTCAACTATTGCAATATTTTACTTTAAGCATCGTGCATTAGCAGTCTTAGAAACTTTTTTTCTAAATGTAAATGATATTTAGATAGGAATGAATTATGATTTTTATGTGTAATTTCTAACAATTTTTTCGAAAACAAATACATTGTAGAACCAATGGAAGTCGTGGCCCGCAATTACTTATTGCTACTCGCTAAAATTATTAAATAGTCATAATTAAAATGCCAAAAGTCGCAAAACATGGACAATTTAGAAAAATAATAACGATTCGGTTTCATTTAACATGTTCATTGGCGGTGGCGAATAATGTAAGTTACCGTCCACGCCATAGCTCCAGTGAACATGGAATCTTTAGTTATTCCTAGAGAAGAATTTAAGCAAAGGTTTCCGAGTAAACGTATTTCATGTGCCTTTTAACGAGAAAAAAAGAAATATAAGTTAATAGAGGATAACTAAGAGGCTTCAGACTGAGTTAGTTTTCTATCTTATATATTTTCACACCTTGAAAAATATTTTGATGTTATATTAAAACTATAGTTTGAAATGTCAAAGTGAGGAATATAACAATACTGCCTTAATTTAAACGTTAACTTAACAATAACATATGTTTCAATAAATTTTATTATTATCCCTATGCGTTAATATAATTAAGCATTGTATAATTTTCCATGTAACACGTGTACGTAACAATATGTTATTAATACTGGCACGATAAACCGACGGTGTTTATTATAAATCTTCATAAATAGGCTTTTTAAGCCCTCCCCACTATCTTCCGTTAACAGTATATTTAATTTATTAAGCCCTCCCTTATCTACAAAATGTAAACCTCATAATCAATTTTGCCCCTCTCGTTTGTACTTAGATATACCTTATGTTTAATAGTGCCTATCTATCTAATTGTTATATTAAATAATTTCCCTCTCGCTTCTACCTAAATAAACCTAAATGTTATACTTATATTTAACCATTTCCCTAAATGAACATCCTCTCTCATGTCTTCCTATAATATAACTTCTTACAAAATCCCTGAGGTTATACTTCATATTTTCAGATACTGGAGCAAAGTAAGGTACATTTGATACAAAAAAATAATAAGGGGCGATTGTCCGTCCGCCAGTCTGTCCGTCCTCCGAAATTTGTACGTCCGCATAATAGCTTTTGGTGGATATCAATGATTATAGGGTTCTGTGCCGAAAAGTATTGGTTTCCACAAAATAACTTTTGAAAGATTTCAATTATTGTGTCTATATTAAGATTGTTAGAACAGGTTAAGATCGATATACGTTTTTAATAATAAGAGTTGGCTTGTAAATTTGTTATATCAAAACTTGTGTTAAATTTGTTTTTAATGCAATAAAATTATTTAAATTATAACAGATTTATGTCCATTTATGAAGCTTTTTGAGAAATGATTGGTTTCCCCACAAGAGTTTTTTTGAAAGCTTTCTAATATTGTGGTTACATTTGACATGCAAGTATGTAATATCGAGGTCAAAATGGATTTTACTTGCATTCAATTTATTGTAAATTAAGCATTTAATTTATTGTCATATAATATGATATAATTTATTTTGTTCAGTCAAATTAAAATCAAGTAAGCAGTATAATTTATTTTATTTTACATTCAACGGAAAATCATCATCGGAGCCATTTACAACTACTTACTTGATATCTTTCATTATGTCACAAAGTGTAGTTTTTGTAAATTTTTCATCGGGCGACACACTGAGTATATATGATCCGCCTCAGCGGAGCTCTAGATTTTATTTTGTGAACAAAATTTGTTGCTCTTGATTTTATATTGCGAAGAACAATATCAATTTGAGTTACGTAAACGTTATTTGACAAGGGTATTCCTTATAAAATAACATCATCTATAAATTCTTTTGTAATACTCAAAGTAATTATATGTATTAGAAAAGCTAGTGTAATCAGTTCCAGATTGCAATTAAAGTGCAAATTGAATTTACAGCGTTATTTTCATTCACTTTTCCCTTTGACATTTTCCATGTATTTGATAAAATTAATGATCTGATGGTATTAAAATTGATAGAAGTTTATGTTTCCTGAAAAAGTTGCAGTTTAAAAAGAGTTTCGCCATTCCAATCTGTCAACATGCAACATTTTCAATAACCTCATATCTTCCAACACAATCAAACTTGAATGAATTTGTATTGAAATATTTTTTTTTCAGAAAGGCCACAGAGTATTTATTGCAGGTGCATTAATTACTACCTTTTAAACATAAAATAAAGTTACAACAGATCAGCAAATTGACATACTTTTTAAAAACAGAGAATATCAAAGTGTTTGTTATTGACTATACCAAAACAATTGTTCTCATGATTCCATCTAATTTCTACATAAAGAAAACTACAGAGTCCATGACCTTTTAATTTTACTTTTAAAATGTAATGCATTAGTTGCTTTTATTCACTGAATAATTGTATACTGAAACCATTGGATGTTTGTTTGTGTAAAGAAAAAAAGTAACTCCAATCATCTTCGTTATATGTTTTAACTTGATATGCATGTATGTTTATGAAAACCTCATACATTGGATGTATGCCCTTATTAATTCTTAAAATCACTTTTAAAAAAGGTGGTATAAAAGGTCTTTGAAGGACTTTACTTATTTTTCCATAAACTGAAAGGAAACGGGATACACACTTTACAATACCAATTACATGTATTGTGTATTAAGATATAGATAAGAAAAGTTAAGAAACGAAATTCTAAAGAAAGAAAACACATGGTATGAGCCAGATACGAATTCATAACTTTTAACTGCAAATGCTTAAACATTACTGCTAAGGTAAGATGCGCGATTGTATGTATGAAATATAATAAAAACAAACATCTTATATTAATCAGGTACAAAGAATACTGGAACTCATTTATTTTCTACACTATTACAAGTGAATTATTTTGACATTTCTTGATCGGTTTGCTAGTCTTTTCTCATTTTGTCTTTAATGTTTTTCAGTCTTTCTATAAGACTGTTGGCAGCATCAGGATATTGTTTAGCCCAGTCTGTCCGTCGTAATCTATCAGCAGCATCTTTCCACTCGCCTTTCTGTATTTTAAGCAATATGATTTGATTAGATTGTTACATTTGAAGTGGTCACATATAAGAATAATTATTTAGGAAATAATCAACTCTTAAGATGATATCTTAAACATTTACATGTAATGTGTGAGCATTTTCTCTTTTGGTTGCTGAAGAAGGAAGAAACCAAAGAAGTTAATCATTATTGCAAACTCGAAATATCTTCTTAAAAAAGAAAAAAAGAAACATTTATGATTATACAAATCAACCATCATCTGCATATAAGTATTGATTTATTCACTGTCCGTGGCACGCATTTATGGCATTTGTTTTGAGAATTGTTTTAATATTCCTTCGTAAAAATATTATGTTATAATAAAGTAAATATACCTCTAGTGCCGATTTCATGCTCATAAAATCTTTTGTTTTCTGGTCATCCAGTGCTTTAAAGCTAACTTTACAATATAGGGATACCATTATCAATTTTACACTCATTGGCATTCTGCTCCATTTGTCATCGTCGAACCATCTGTCAAGGTCACGTGTTGCATCTTTTATGCAGACTTCATATTCAGATAGTAGCTGTTCTAAACCCTCATCCGATATTTCGTAGGGTCTTTCTTGGATGGTAGATTAAATAAATCAAGAAAATGACATAGGCTTAGTATTGTCTCTATATACACTTTATCAAAGCAGGCTTATTGTTTTCTTACTTGATACTTACATAAAGTTTTCTGTTACTCTATTATTATCAAAGACTGTTAACAGTTTGTCGGCTGACATATTCATTATTCATTTGCATTCAATGATGATACATCTTTAACAATGATAAGTATTGAAGCGTTTCAAATATTATTCTGACAAGTTGATGCATTTTCATCTGCATAGTTTACATACATGTATATTCATTTGTCAAATAAAACACGGAAATTTATTTGCTGCTAATAATTTAGATAATTCGGGAGAGTGCAATACCAAACCAAATATAGTAAATAATATTCTGCATGATGTTTTTATTGTTTGCCATGTCTTAGCTAGGTATAATCAAGTACGACAACTTCCTTAACAACTTTATTTTTTGATTAACACTAAAATGTTCTATATAATCACCTTTAATTACCTTTCTCTTTTTTCTTTTTCTTGTCTTTCTTGTCGTTCTTATCTTTTTTATTTCTTTTTGTTTTTTTTTTCCCTCTATCACCACAATATTGAGGCATTTCTTCTTCAAATTGAGCTTTTTCTAGGCAACCGCAATCTTGTGTTCCTCCATTACTAACTGTTTTGATGATAGTATCTAGCTGTTTGTTCATTTCAATTAGAATTTCCTGTGTTGTTTCATTTTTACATTGATTATCCTGTTGTCCAGTTTTGTTAAGCTTTTCGAGAACTTCATCAACGCCTTTGCAACCTTTGTCATACAGAACTTTGAATTGATCTGCGCATCTGCATTTTGAATCGTCAAAGGTAGTCACTTGTTGTGTAATTTTTTCCAGCATTGTCTTCATTACTTGAAGGTCCTGAGGAGACTCGATGTTGTTGTCGTGTCTAGAAATTTTGTTGATAACAATATCCAGTGTGTCTTTTATTTCATTTGTCCCTTTTTCACATATCTGAACGACTTCATTAATTGTATTTGAAATTGTCCCCAACTGTTCTAGCTTAGCTTATATTTCTCTATTATCTTTCTGTAACTTATCTCTATTTGCACATGCACACATCGCACTGCCATTAATCATTTCTAACGATTTATCAATTTTTACGCTTGTATTTAACTGTGATTCTAACAAGATACTATCATTAACACATTGAAATGTTTTGTTATCAACAGCGGTAAGCATTTCATTTAATTTGGTTGAAATAGCAGGCACTTCTTTAAGATTAGAAACGTGATTCGTAAAATCCGTCAATGTGTATTGTATATCTCCTAACCCGTTCAGTAAACCTGATATATCCACACGTTCACATTTGTTTATGGCTGCTGTCGCTGTAGTCCTTTTCGCTGGAACTGTAGTTAGCCCATTTAAGAAAACGAACTTCATAAATAGAAATAGCAAAAATATCATTTCTTCTGATTTCATCTTTCTCTTCTGATGTTGTAAAGCAATCTGAAATGACTGCTATAAGTGACATATGTTAGGTTTGCTTAACACATGGCTGCGATATCAGAAGATCAAATAGAAGTAATTATCAACGCTCATGTTTGATCAACTTTGTCTTACACACAATTAAAACATGTTTGTGACGTCATCTTTTGTTGTATCTGTACATTAATGTGCCTATTGTACTAGCAGATGACGAAGCTATCCAATATTTATCAAATAAGTATCCAATATATTAATATTGGATACTTTTCTATCCATTATTTAAAAGGAAAATGGACAAGAATAGAACATGTGTATATTTCATGTAAAGTGGGTGAAATAATCGAACAATACATAACTCAATGACAAAATTGTGTTCTTTTTATTATCAAGATACAATAATTTGACTTATTTATAATATATACTGGAAAATAATCATTTTCTGAAAAAATAATCCACAAACTGAAACTTTATTTGCCTGTAAACTTAAGATGAAGCGACATACTTCCAGATGTTAAATTGAGTTCCTGAAAATACTTCCAGTATCTGAACTGAAATTTTCCGTTTTAGATTTTTTTTGATTGGTCCGATTGTCCATGCAAGATACCGCTGACTTGCATTAACTGATCCTCACTTGTGCGTTTATAACCGCGAACAGCATTTGAACGATGACCAGTTTTTTTCAGTAATAAGCTGCTCGTCAATATCAGCTTCATAAAGTCGAGTTGCTGCTGTTGCTCTCAAAGAATGGTTGGTATAATGTCCATTGAAGGAAGCTTGTTTGCACAGGTTACCAACTGTTTGTTGTAGCAAGTGAACGCCAACGGGTGAATCATAGTACCAACATTTTGCCGTTGGCGCTTTAAGAGGTCGCAGATATAAGACACCTGTTTAAAATTTCTTGGACTGTAAGCAAACAAATTATACATTATGAATATATTGCTAGAGGAAATGATAACATTTCTACTTGTTTCGACTTAATTACCATAATCATACAGTCAAAATACAGTGTATTTTCTGAAAAATTATCTACTTACAGACAGTCTTAGTAGTAGAATCATTAATAATTATTACAATTCATGTAATTTGAAAAAAATGGTCATGAGAAAGGTAATTATGTATTTTAAAATGCTGTTGCTTAGGAGGGTACGTTTTTGAGTTTTACCACAAAATGCTGGTAACTTATTTACAAATATTATATATATTGTTTCCTTTTTTTTTCTTTTTTGTATTTTTTATGAAGTAATTTTTTGGATTTTTTTTTATTTTGGAACTTCATAAATTACAAAGTGACACTTAAGTTCACAGCAAAAACAAAGCGAGAAAATTGCATATATGTGAATTTGCGAAATAAAGACAACAAATAATTCAAAGCCCCCATCCGCTCCGCACAAGAAGATATGAGCCGTGTCACGACAAAACCAACATAATGCGTTTGCGACCAGCATGGATCCAGACCAGCCTGCGCATCCGCGCAGTCTGATCAGGATCCATGCTGTTCGCTATCGGTTTCTCTACTTGTTAGTGAACAGCATGGATCCCGATCAGACTGCGCGGAAGCGCAGGCTGGTCTGGATCCATGCTGGTCGCAAACCAATTATGTTTGTTTTGTCATGACACGGCTCATATATACATGTTCATATCTTACATGTCCGCATTCACTTTATTTCATCACGAAAATGAAGATTGATAAAACTCTTGTTATTTCATCTCATCCAGTAAGTTAAAGGCACAGCATGCCTTAGAAATTTATTTTTTTTAATTCTTTAGAAATGACAGGCATGTTTTTAATAGTAAATTAAGAGTTTAAACTATAATTATACAGATTGCGGCAAATGGCGGATGCCACTTTTTTATAATAACATGAAAAATGACGAGTTTTAAAAGTAACAGATTGTGTTCAATTGATAATATATTTTTGAGGCCATATACTCGGATAATACTTAAAGATATTTAGATGTAAAAGAAACCATTAAACAATCGAATAATTTATAAATGCTGAATAAAAAGTGCTTAAAAATATACAAAAAATAAGATAACTTACCGGAGAGAAATGTATTTTTCGTATATATTCACAGGGCATCTCTCGGGTTTGGCTATGTTTTCGTATGCTCGTGTGATTTTGGGCTGTATCTTACGATGCTGAATTCCTCCTCTGTTTGTTTTGGATGCATCCTCGTGATATTCTAAATATCGGCGATTTTGTAAGTCCCGTTTGACTGTGATTTGTCCATTTTCACCAACTCTAAGTGCACGATGTTCCTGGCCTGCTCTTAAGGCAAAATGCAAGCCGAGCGTGTAAAGTAACGTATCTAGAAGCATTTGTGGCGTTTCTGTTCCCAGAATGCGTTTGTTCCACAGTTCATTCTCTTGTTCTTCACTTACAATAGCAGCGCTTCTTCGTTGCATACCAAGCCCTTGTTTGGATAGCTGCTACATTTTTGCATCAAGAATACGCCTTAGTCCATCAAAAGCGGCATCATCTAGAAAGTTGATAAGTCTACCTTGCTGTCGAAGATGGTGTTGTATCGCAATTATAATCTAACATAATGTGTTGGGCTTATATTCTTTTCCAGATATTGCCCTCACTTCTGCTATGAAGTACCCCAGTGTTTCGTTCAGCACTTCGCTACTCATATTTATGAGATTGTTGTTTGGCACAAAAGAGTCTGTGTTTTTATTTCTGTTCTTCTGCCATAAGTCAAACATGTTAACTGCCCATTTTGATTTCTTTTCTGTCTTACTAGACAATCCACTTTTGACAAGGTTGTCTGAATCACTTTGTTTAAGTGGCACTGAAAACCTTGCTGGCTCATTTTGTTCGATGAGCTGAGTTGCTTTCAAAAGTTCCTCGTCCGAAATGTCTGAAAATAAATAGGTCGCTTTTCAAATCAAACGACGGCTGGAGCTCTGTTTTTTGCTTATTGTCAGCCGATTCTACCATGTCTAATACTTCACTTAAAATTAAATCCGATTCTATAGGGCTCAAACATCCGTTTTCTTTAGACTGTGTTATAAAAATACCATCGTCTGAATCAGACATTATTGCTGCTCGTTTTTTTCTTTCTTTCTTTTTTTAAATCCAGAACAACTTAATGATGGCAACTTTGTGTTACTTATGTATTTGTCACAACTATATATACAGTGTATTACATGAAAGCATGATAAACATGATTTTCTTACCTTTTTCTTTTTCCCCCAAAAAGTAAAGCTGTCTAATAAGTTAACAATGGACGCATGATTTTTTACTCAATATTTTCATGGAATTCATGAATTAATACAACTGTCCATTATTTAGACAATAGAGAACATGTTTTAAGTAAGAGAAACTCTGTCCATTATGTGAGAGAATAAACAAATCTCGGCGCTATGCGCCTCGATCTGTTCATTCTCTCACATAATGGACAGTTTTTGGAGTTTCTCCATAACTTAAGCAAAGCTGCTTTATCTAGTTTCAAAAATGTACCGGGTTTATAAGGAGAAATAAAAAGTTTATCGAAAAATGTGTATGCTAACACTAAAAAAACACACAGCATGCGCCGTTACTAGTACATGTGTTTGATAAAATGCCAACTTACCTGATCAACTTGTCGTCTGACTTCCACTTTTTGATGTGATGAGTTTTGTCTGGTTACGAAACCTCAGAAACGTACAAAACATATATCTTGTTCCTTCCAGCTGAATGGATGGATTTTGAAGGTTTTAGGTGGTGAGCCAGTGTATTCCTTGCAGCAGAAACTCAAAGAGACGATGACGGTAGTATTTACCGTTACCGTCCATTAATAGACTCACTCAATCGAGCATGTAACGTTATCGATTTTGGCGTTTTGGGCATTCTTTAGGTATTGTACCTGTTTCTATTGTAATAAATGTGTGTGTAATCGCTGCTCATTACTTTGCGCAACATAGTAATTTTCGCTTTCAATTCAAATGTTAACAAGCTTTTAACTTTGTTAGAAACAATCTTGCAGAATTTTTTAACACAACGGATTAAAGTTAAAGCATAACTGAGTCAATATGCTTCACATATTGTTCTGTTGTATTTAAATGTTCAAGAACTATTCCGTACGACTAATTAGATACACTGTTCTGTAACATTTATACCCCTCTTCTTGATATTTAGCTTTGGTACTGTTACTCACTCACCAACAATTCAACCATAATGTTCAAATGTATATATTGTGTTGAGTTCGAAAAAATATTGCAAGAATAATGATCAATTTTGAATGTTCATCGTTATCATTTTTGTAATAAAAACTAACCAATATTTCTATATAATTAATGTATCTTTAACAGTTAAGTCCCTATTGATGTGTAGGGCTGAACTACGTATTGGTCTATTCCAATGATGCATGTGTGCATTAAAATCCCTTATTCAAAAGCTCAATAGTAATATAGCAGGCTGCAATTTTTTTCCGACGGACAAAATAAAATCAAAAACAAAATATCACTTTGATAAAAGAGACAATATTTTACTACCTAATAATTTCACATGTTTATAAATGGCAACATACAAACTCCCGTAGTAGGTAGTGCGTTTTGAATTAGCAAGGTCCTCAGATCAAAACTATAATACCTTTGAATACTGAATAACCTTATTCCTTTTCTTTAAGAGTAATATACTATTCAGGCGCCACGTGGGAAAATCTAACTTAATTGATTTTTTTTTCGAATTTTAGTTTGAATATCAGAATGATACACAAGATGATTTTATAATGCATGGTATGTACGTTCGTAATTATTTTGATGATTTAAAACACCTATAGATTCTTTCGAAATCAAATAAAGCCGCCATTTGAGTTTTGGATATAGTAATAGATGTACATGTAATAACTAAAAAAGAAACTAAATGAATAGCCTCTTCTTAAAAGAACCACAAGAAGTCTGGCTGTTAAAAGACAATTAAATAGATGCCTTACAGTAAGTGAATACTTATATGCGTTTTTACTAGATATAAGAAATACTGACATGTATTTTCCTATTTCTTTATTTGAATAT